TCTATTCCTACTGCTCTGGCCATGTAACATGTGCCTGCTTCCCCTTCACCTTCCACTATGACCGGAAGCTTCCTGAGGCCTCCCCAGAAGCCAAGCAGATGTCAGCATCATGCTTCCTGTACAGCCTATGGAACTGTGAGCCAATCAACCCCTTTCTTTATAAATTACCCAGTCTCAGGTATTTCTTGATAGCACTGCAGGAACTGACTAATACAGTCCTCTGTGACATTTCTCAGTAGCTGAATGAACACCAGCAACCACCCACTTCTGGACTTCTTGTTTCGTGAGGGAAATAAGTCCCTGTTTGTTTCAGCCACCGTTGGTTGGGTTTTCTGTTACTTGTAACATTCTTAACTGAAGGCCCTTCCTATGGTTCCTCTTGGTCTTAGGACTTTGAACATTAGGTTCCACATTTTGACAGGCTTTAATTCCCAAAATCCCCCATCCTGTGAAGAACTCTCCACATTAATTATCAACAGCAACAAGTGTACAGCCAGCCGAACACATTTCCATCTTAATTATCTTCTTCTGTTGGGAAAGAAAAACCTTAAAAGCTTCTTTTAGATTACTCAGGAATTTCCTTTAAAAAAACTTTTTATGAAGCATAATATATGTAACAGAAAAGTGCACATATCAATAACCGCTTTTAAGTTAGTTCCAAAGTCACAAAACAGCTTGGAATATGGGTACTATTTTTAAATTTTTGCTACTCTTCATCTTGATTCCCCTATCCCTTAGCATTTGTTTCATTATTTTAAGTAGCTTCAATGTATACTTAAGATTCTCTTCATTTCTTTTAGAAATACTTGTCTAATGGTAACCTCTTTTTTTGTATGGAGTCTCATAGGATTTTGTCTCTTATAAAGCGTTTTATTTCTTTTCACACTCTTATGTTCTGATCCCTGGGATAACCATAAATTGCTTCCAGAAATTCCTGGCTACTCGGTATTATGTGATCAGATGTTTTTTCTCCACTTTTCCACCTATGATGTTTGCCTTGAATGTCATTTGGGCTTTTCCTCTTCCTTATATAGGTTTTTGTTTTAAATGAAGCAAACAGGTGTATAGGATTAAGCACTTTTGTCCTTATAGTACAGCTGGAAAAATAGGAACACAGTGTAAGGAGAACGATCCCATCTTAGCAATCCGAAAACAAGGCTTTCAGCTCTTCCTATTAATGGTGAACTGAGGTCTGTCATCCATAATGATGAGGACTAGTTGGTCAAAATATAATACAGCAAACTATGCTTCTTATAACCTAGTTATTCAAGGGGACATGTCTCATTTCATGCATAGGTCCTGGGAAGATGAAACCCATCCAGCATGTCTCCAAAAATTTTCCTTAATTAAACACATTTCGTAGAATTCAGGAGGGAATTCTATCAAAATCTGCTTGACAAAACATTATATCAAGTAGAGCACTCAGTTATCTTCAGATCCAATTTGTTCACTTTCAGGAGGATAAAAATGAAGCCTTATATTCCAGGACCTCTCCAACCCCAGGGTAACCCACAACTTGCACAAGGTTAGGCAACAGTTTCCACAGTAACTAAGTCTCTATCCTGCCCCAAATCTTCAAGGAGGAACCTGAACGATCATCTTGTTCAATGTTTTCTGTTTTATATATTAGGGAACTGAGGCCAAGAGAACCTAAGTAATTACCCCAGGTAACCTGGCTAGTGACTCTGGGAGAGCAGAGACAGACCCACGGTGTCATTCAAGCTCCTCCAAGCCATATGAAATCAATGCCAAAGTCTACAAACAAACAAAGGAGGGATTTTTCTTCTCTTCCTGTTCTTTGGCTCTGAGTTTAATACTCTTGGTTACACATGGACATGTGCAGATTTAGCAACAATCCACAGACACTAGCACTTTTCTCCATTTCTCTTCTTAAAAGTGTAAGCCTAGAATATTTCCAGGCACAGAGATGTTAGAAACTCTAATATGTCAAAACTTAGAATAAAGAAGGAACAAGAGGAAGATCAAATAGGGAAGTCCTAAAAGCCAGTCCTCTCTGAGGTAAACATGGTATTACTGAAGAAAGTTCCCTTGAACCTTTCATTGCCATTGGGGAGCATTTTCGGTAAAATTAAACAAACACTCAAATAAGCAAAACCTCAAAAAACAACAGGGACAAAGGAAAGGACTTTAGTTTGCTTCCTTTCAATTTTAACATAATTTGACCCTATATTTGGTGTATTGTTTGGCTTTGTGGGCACATTTTACTGTGTGAAAAGATCCCTGTATTCTCTGACAAAACAGCCCTCTCGAAGAACCATCTCTCAACCTGATTTTGGTAAAAGAAATGCTAAGACAGAAGGCTTTATTTGGCGACAGCTGTAAGCAAAAGATTGGCCAAAATATGACCTCAATGCATAAATAACTGTTCAGATCAACTAAATCTCATTACTGAAGAAGAGGCTCTGGGGCCGCTTGGGTTTTCCATTGTGACATGTGGTATTTTGATCACTTCTTTCTTTCATGATCAAGGCTGGAATGTTTTGTTTTGAGGCATACCTCAAACTGAAATTCTGAAATCCTCTGTAGTCTTGGATAGGTTAAAACCTACCAGGTCATTTTCCAGGCAGAAAGCAGAGGGCATGGAACTTTCTGGTCAGACTCTAGCCCTACTGGCTCTGTCCTTTGGTTTCATGGGTTCTGCATGGCCTCTGCTTAAAACAAGCTACCACCTTCTGAGGGCTGCCTGTGAAGCTAAGAGTCAGCTGTGGTTTATGACTCTTCGGGGGTTAATATCTTCGTTCCAGTGCTTGCAGCTCGTCTACATTCCTTTTTAATTTTTTCAGAGTCATTTCAATTTAGGGTTACTTGCCAACATCTACCGTTTTAGAATTTCCAGCTCAGAGGATCTATCTTGCCGTGTCACAGCTGTACTGGAACAACAGCCACAGTGCAGATGGCTGGCACTGGTGACCTGTCCCATCATTTCATTTACTACGAGTGACCCTGCACAAGATGCCAGAAGTGTTGCTCATGCCAGTCCTAACAGACTTACTAGGCTCCCTATGACCACCTCTCTGCAGGTCTTGGTGGAACCAGCTTCCCCTTTAAGTACCATTACACTCACCCAAAAACAGGCTTTTCTGCAGGTCAAGGTGTTGCCTCAATGAACTGCTAAGATAGAAGAATTGAGAAACAGTTTTTGTCGGCTGGGGGCAGTGGCTCAGGCCTGTAATACAAGCACTTTGGGAGGCCAAGGCGTGTGGATCACAAGGTCAGGAGTTTGAGACCAGCCTGGCCAACACTGTGAAACCCCGTCTCTATAAAAAATACAAAAATTAGCTGAGTGTGGTGGCATGTGCCTGTAGTCCCAGCTGCTCGGGAGGCTGAGGTAGGAGAATCGCTTGAACCCGGAGGCAGAGATTGCAGTGAACTAAGACCATGCCATTGCACTCTAGCCTGGGTGACAGAGTAAGGCTCTGTCTCAAAAAATAAAAGAAAAAAAAAGAAAAGAAAAAAGAAATAGTTTTTGTCAATCTGTGCTCAGTTAGAAACACTGGGTGGAGATTCTTAGATGTAAAAGAGTTAACAGCCTTGATCTTTGGGCTCATTTCAACCTTCAATGCTTAACAAACTTAGTAAAGTAGAATTTTGTATTACTACTTTCAGAGGGTCCATGCACAGGCCCTGGGAAGATGACACCCATCAAGCATGTCTCCAAAAATTTTTATTAATTAAACCCATCTGATAGAATTCAGGTGACAGTTCTATCAAACTCTGACAGAGCATTAGATCAAGTAGAGGACTCTGATACTTCCAATCCAACTCCTTCATTTTCAGGAGGACAAAAAAGGAAGCCTGTCACTCCAGGACTTCTCAGACCCCAGGGCACCCCACATCTTGCACGGGGTCAAGTAACAGTTTCCACAGTAATTAAATCTCCATCCTGCCCCAAACCCAAGATCAAGGAGGAATCTTAACAATCATTTTTTTTCAAAGTTGCTGTTTTACATATAAGAAAACTGAGGCCTAGAGAACCTGAGTAACTACCCCCGGTAATCTGCCTAGTGATTCTGGGAGAGCAGAGACAGAACCACAGTCTGCCTGCTCCTCTAAGCCATATGTAATCAATGCCAACTGCTTAGTAAACAGCTGCTTCTGAAAAATCGTCCCAGGAAAACTGGGTGACCTTTTTTTTTTTTTTTGCTTAGTGCTGGGTAACAGCTTAAAAAATACTTACTGATTGATTTGTATCGTAAATAACTGTGTTTTCTATATCTGGTTCTTTATGCAGGTCATTTTAAATCAATAGTAGAAAACTGGACCTTGATTCCTTGGGTAACAGAAATGGCTAGTACTAGATGCCCCTAATTCCAGTGAGGCTGATCACATAGAACTTGAGCACCATCGGGACCTTCTCTAAGTCTCCAAATGTAGATAGTCACTGCCAGAATCTAGGCCAATTGATGTCTGCCATTATAACAATATTTCTTTAAAAAAAAAACTATATAACTGAATCCTTTACAAAATCCACATACGAAAAGTTGGATATTGCTTCCATGTTTTCCCTGTACTTGTATTTCCAAGATTAGTGGGATCCTCTATAAAACCTTATTGAATAAATGACATAATCACATCACCAAGATCAGGACTGTTGTACTGAACGTAAACCTAATTTTATATTACAACATGGAAGCAAACTGACAATATTGATTCAGGAATCATGTCTAAAGGACCTGGTTATTATCTTGCCCATTACACAGACCAGTGACCACTTCTCTTCTTAATGATGATGGTAGGATTTAAGGTCTTAGCAAATGCCCTCAGAATGTCCCAATGTTCAGGCCATTTATAAATCTTTGTTAGAAAAATAATCAGGCCTGAAAATTATGTCTTTTTTGTTAGTTTGTTTGGCTTGGTGACAGAACTGATGTTTATTTACTCAACGTCTAACAGAATATGCGGGTTTTTGTTTTGTTTCAAGGTGGCAATGTGCCCAGTTAAAAACATACCTTCCTTACTAGCTTCCATTGCTATTAAAGGCTGGTCATGGAACACAGTTCTGGACAATGAGATATAGGTGGTAGTTCCTATAAAGACTTCTGCCCTTCACTCTGCCTCCTCCTTCTTGGCTGTCTGGAGGTACCGCAGCTCTCTTTCAATCATGAAGATGAAGGCTATCGATAACAACGGAGGAGCAGAAAATAAAATGGTGGGTCCTTGACGTTTTCCTCAAATAGCTATACCAGTCTTGCATTGCCTATTTCTGAATTCTTTATTATGGGAGAAAACAAATCCATAATTGGTTAAGTCTCTGTGGTTAAGTTGAACATGATTCCAACAAATAAAGACTTAACGTGTATAGTTTCATCCAATTTTGGCAATTTATCTCTATTATGCAAAACAATATTGGAGTTTGTTAACAGTATATTAAGGAGACCATACATAATTAAAACAATAACTTATATTTATGGAGGACTGACCACTGCATTAGTCACTATATGGTGCATTTTACACATATGTTTAATATTTAACCTTATAGCAGCACTATGTATTAAGACACTATGATTACCATTCTTATTTTACAACAAAACAAAACAAGAAAACAAAAACAGTATCAAGCTCAGGGTGGCTAAACTCAAGGTCATCTAGCTGGTAAGTGATAGCCTTTCCCAAACCCAAATCTGTCTGACTACAAAGCCCATACTCTCAACCATTTATTACATTATACTACAAGACCAAAGAGGAAAATCTAATGGTTCTAATTTATTTCACGAGAGACAGATCTTCTGTCTGTTACAATCTCGATTTGTTCCGCTGTAAATTCACCAACCATAAAGAAGAAGCATCCGCGATCACATAAATCTAAAGAGAGCTTTATTGAGGCAACCTAAATGCTTCCCCCAGGGCCTGCCTGGAGAGAGAATGGTGGAATTTGGAGGCTCTGCCTCATTTCTGTTACCCAAAGCCTCTTTGGCCTCTTCTTTACATCTTTACATCTAGTGAGTTGCTGCATATGAAAAATCTGAGCACCAATTATGTAAATTTTAATCATAAAACTTATTTCAGGTCAGCTTTCACTTGCTCCAGAATGAGACCCTTATAGTCTGTTCTTTCAACTTTTCCCAGTGAAGAAAAATAACAGGCATTCAAGTGCAGAGCTACCTAAAGACTGTATTAGGTGATAGCACATCTTTAAATCCAAAAGTTATCTTCTGTAATTTACTATAAAGTATGGGCACATATAAGAACACCTTGAGGAAAAACATTATCATTGGGCAAATACAAGAATTTCCTCTTTTCTCTTGTTTGTTGTTGAACTGGGTTTTCAATATATATTAATATTTACTGAGTAAATGAGGAAAGGAATAAACGAAATGAAAAGAGCAGATCACTATAATTAAAAATTTAACGATTCTAAAATACTCTAATATTCTAGAAATACTCTGAGTTTAGAAAGTAAATCCAGACTTTCTAAAATACTAAAATTTTAATGTTAATTTACTCCTGAAATTTTGCAATGTGCTATGCATCATACCTATAGAATACTGAATATATTTCTTTTTAAAATTCAAGTCACAGTCATTTCCAAATATTATTCAAGTAAGCCTCTAGGGATTCTGCAGTTATCTTCACTAAGATTGGAATCCACTGGTATTCTCAATTATTCTAGTCTTCTTTTCTTATGAACAAGCCTTGATCATATCAACCCTTCCTTTAAAGATTTCTAAATTTCCTTAAAGCCCTTATCAGCTCCCAGACACTGCAATATTCTTGTGTGACGACATCCAGTTTCAAATTTTCAGTCTTCCTCTTTCTCTGCTCCTAACCTATTGAATTTTGTATTAACAGAAAATATAACTATTCTACTTTGCCTTTCTCCTGACCTTGGGTTTTAGCACATTATAACATTTTTGTTAGTTGATGGCAGATTTAACATTTTAAAGCAACAGTGGTCACAAATATTTTTTCTCTTTGATCCAGAAATCCTACCTATTTGATTAGGCAGAGTTACATGTTTTTATATGATGGGAATTTCTGTTTGTTGATTTATGTAATCATTTTTCCTCAGGTGGGCAATCACAGACACGGGACTGGGAAATACTTTGTGTCTTAGTTCATTCAGGCTGCTATAACAAAACACTGAATGGCTTATAAACCACAGAAATGTTTTTCTCATAGTTCTGGAGGCTGAGAAGTCCAAGATCGAGGCACTGGCAGAATCAGTGTCTGGGAAGGTCCTGCTTCCTCACAGACAGCCATCTTCTCACTCCACCCTCAGACGGCAGAAGAGGCAAGGGGTCTTTTATAAGGGCCTCTTTTAGAGGGGCACTAATCCTAGTCATGAGGGCTCCACTCCCAAGACCTAAGCACTTCCCAAAGGCTCCACCTTCTAAATAGCATCACTTTAGGGGTGAGGAATTTAATATATGAATTGAAATGGGGGGACATAAACATTTAGACCACAGCACTTTGTTAGCTAGGAGAGGAGGAAAGGGATTATTAGCATTTTCCTATGAATGTATGTCATAATGACTGGCAGCACTGATAATTAGTTACCAGTAATAATAAGTAGCATAGTTGGCATATATTTTTTTTATATAAATAAAATAGGCCATCTCTATTATATCATTCTCAGTAATTTGAATACACACATACTTTCTTTAATGGTTGAGAAAACTTTGGATTTAGGTGTAGCTGAAAGAGGAATTATACATGTGAATAGCTAAGATTTATTTAGCACTGATTTTACTCTGTGCACTGTGCTAAGGCTACAGGTTTTACTTACATAATTTCATTTAATCCTCTTAACAAAAGATTAAGGTTGGTCTCATTATCCTTATTTTATAGATGAGACAAATCAAGGTGCAGAATTGATTAAGAAATCAGCTTGTTCTTACATAGCTGGTAAGAGGGAGAGCCAGGATTAAACCCAGGATGCCCAACTAGGAAGCGCATGTACTCTACAGCTTTCCTTACACTGCACACAACTCTAGTTGTGTCCATGGGGTATGTCATTCCTCTTTGCAAAAACCTCTACTTTCTGTGACAAAGTAGATAAAGGCTGATAGCCTTGAGGCTGAGCTTCTGGCCTCAAGATTTCTATGAGATGGTGACCTCGTTTTGGACCTGGTGCTAAGGAGGCCAATACCATGTGTTAAATGTTTCTCTTTCCTAGGTGGCAAGTGCTGCTGCATTTCATGGCCTCAGATCAAAATACAACCTCATTAGCTGCTGTGAACACAATGTTCCTGTTGAAGAATGGAATGGAGTTAAGAGTGTAGAAGGTCTGATGTAAATTTACTCCTACTCCAAATGCATATCCTATTGACAAAGAGTTTGAACTATTGCATTTGTATATGAAAGTCAGGGCATTCTATTGTTTTCAGTTGTCACAAGGGAAAAAAAAAAGAAAAAGAAAGAAATGGCATTACTACTGTCAATATAAATAAATGAAAAATCTAAGCTACTTCTATTTGTCATTTCAGGATTGGGAAATGGACTTTTGGCCCACAAACCAGAAATATATATATCCAACAGCCCAGGAATAGACATATAATTTTTTTTTTTTTTTTTAAGATACAGGGTCTCTTTGTCACCCAGGCTGGAGTGCAGTGGCACGGTCATAGCTCACTGCCGCCTCGAATTCCTGGGCTCAAGCAATCTGTCCATCTTGGCCTCCCAAAGTGCTGGGATTATAGGTCTGAGCCACTGCGCCTGGCTTGGGATATTTTTAAGTAACAGATAATATTCAATGATTCAACTCCAAAGTAGTTGAGCAAAAGAAGTACCTACATTTAAAAAAGACGTCTTCCTTCCATTTCAATTTTCAAATTGAAAAGGAATTCAAATAAATTAAATAAAAAGATCAATGTAAAATTTTGGCTACAAATAACACTAGAGAAAGATCAAATAATAAACTGGAAAATATGGCAGGACTACCTTACTCCTGAGTGGAAATGCAATACATTCTAGTTATGTGCCCTGTATTACTGTAGGCTGTTTGTGTGTTGATTTTTCTCATGCATTATGACTTGGCCACCTTTAAAAAGCATCTCTTCCTACCCTCTCTTTACATAGATCTTAAATATAATAGACAATAAATATTTGTGGATTTGTTTAAAATTCCACTAGCTATAGGCAAGAGAAAACATGCATAGATGCATACATATGTAATTTAATGTCAATAACTTCCACATAGACAAGGCTGAGAAGTCCCAGCCTGTGCATACTGCACCCTTAGGGTTCCCTAGAGTGACAGAATAGTGCGTGTGTATATATGTGTGTGTGTGTGTGTGTATATATATATATATAAAGAGGAGTTTACTAAGTATTAAATTACACTATCACAAGTTCCACAATAGGCTGTCTGCAAGCTTGAGGAGCAAGGAGAGCCAGTCTGAGTCTCAAAACTGAAGAACCTGGAGTCTGATGTTCAAGGACAGGAAGCATCCAGCATGGGAGAAAGATGTAGGCTGGGAGGCTAGGCCAGTCTTGCCTTTTCACGTTTTTCTGCCTGCTTTATATTTACTGGCAGCTGATTAGATTGTTCCCACTAGATTAAGGGTGAGTCTGCCTTCCCCAGCCCACTGACTCAAATGTTAATCTCCTTTGGCAACACCCACACAGGCACACCCAGGATCAATACTTTGCATCCTTCAATCCAATCAAATTGACACTCAGTACTAAACATCACACTTTCCTACCCTATAACAGAAAGCTGTTACCTCTAACTTTGATGGTAAAAGTTCAACCTCAAAAGGTCTTTGGAGACCTTCCCTCAGCAGAATCTTTGCCTCATCTTTGGTGAATTAGGGAGAACTGGAAGAAGGCATAGTATTGCTTCTAGTTCATAGAGAACTTGAGATGTAGATAAGCTAATTGCTTGCCTAAGGTCTTCCAGCAAAATTCTGACTGGGGGGACGTCAATCTCAGCTCAGCTCCCTCTTCACCTCATCCCCCTGCCTCCCCACATGCTGAGGTTCAGGTTCTTAATCACACTACATACCAAAGGCTTTGCAGAACGAATCGGTCTTTAACCATACACTGTATTACGGAACATGTACTATAGCAGACAACAGATGTCACCATGAGAATCTTATTTTCTGCTATTTCCCAATTTTGGCATGTGAACATTTATAACCTTAATGTTGCATGAACAAAGATTTTTGCATTTAATATTAATATGGGAACTCACAAATCCTCCTTCTCCAGTTGGAAGGCTGCCACATTCTGATTTCAACAGTGTATGGCTGCTTTTTCAGCGTGTAAATTTGCCTCAAGGTCCTGTTGGTGTCTTCTGAGCTGAAAATGTGGTCACATTCTAGTCTTACAGGAGACAATGTCAGGTAAAATGTCTAGAGATTTTCACATTTGTCATTTTCAAAGCACACATAGCCTGTAATCCCAGCACTTTGGAAGGCCAAGGTGGGAGGATTGCTTGAGCTAGGAGTTGCAGACCAGCCTGGGCAACATGGCGAAACCCTGTCTCTACAAAATTAACCAGGTGTGGTGGTATGTGCTTGTAGGCCCAGTTACTCAGAAGGCTGAGGCTGGGGCGGAGTGGGGATGGGATAGGATGGGATGGGATGGGATGGGAATTGCTTGAGCCCAGGAGGTTAAGGCCACTGCACTTCAGCATGGGCGACAGTGAGAGACCCTACCTCAAACAAACAAACAAACAAACAAACAAAAACAAAAATAGCGCATACATACCCAACAACAGTAAAGGCCGATGGAAAAGGTTTTTACTTGTTAAGACCTAATTCACTGAGATATTTCTACTGTTAAGGAAACCAGTAACATCCACAGCAGAACAAAACACTGCATAACACCATATCCCAAATATTGGTTTGGCAAGAAACCATGGGTTAAAAAGTGAGTTTTCAAAGACAGGGCTTTCAAGAGGACTGGCACCTTTATTTCCTCTTCCAAAGTGAAGGTTTAAAAAAAAATGGCAAACTCTGCTGTCTAGCCAAGGCTGCCGAACCACGTGTAACTGACAAACCACCCAAGAATCAGTCAGTGGCTGGTAGACAGTGGGTGAATCTGCTTCTTCCCCTGAGATGCATGTGCTGGGGATGTCCTCATAGGGTCACGCCAAGTCAGAGGCAAGATGTTATGTTTTTTCTTTTTTGAGACTAAGTCTCACTCTATCGCCCAGGGTGGAGTGCAGTGGCATGATCTTGGCTCACTGCAATCTCTGCCCACTGGGTTCAAGCGATTCTCATGCCTCAGCCTTCCCAGCAGCTGGGATTACAAAGCACCCACCACCCCACCCAGCTAATTTTTGTATATTTAGTAGAGATGGGGTTTCACCATGTTGACCAGGCTGGTCTTGAACTCCTGACCTCAAGTGATCTGCCCCCCTCAGCCTCCCAAAGTGCTGGGATTACAGGTGTGAACCACCGTGCCTGGCTGGCGTTATGTTTTGCAAATAATTTTCGTCTCTTAGAGCCCATGGCTCTGAGTTACACAATTCTGGGACTACATCTGCAATAATTATGAATCAATGGCATTCTAACATAATCTACTTTCCCAAAACAAAAATTAGAGGTCAGATCCCCTCAGGCTCAAATCAGAACCTGAGTTCCTCTGTATTGGATCTCACTGCATGAATTAGGCAACACGATAATGAGAAGTATTTCCGTTTGAGCCAATCGTTTTGCCCTAAACGATAGAACGTGTATGAGTTAATCCCTACATTAGATTCACATGTGCGAGGTAACGTTTTAACAGGGAAGTGGAAGCAGTTGTACTATTTCTGAAAATCTTTGCTGTGTCTGCCTAGCCAGAGTAGGGTATCTTATCAGTGGCTCCTCAGCTAAGGCTTCCAATTCCTTTTGAATTTAATTTGGAGTCAGTCAGTGGATAAATCGTATAAAATATGCGAAAGAGAACTAGCTGTTGATTCTGGGCACGCATATATTTGGCCCACATAGTTAAGCGATCGTGTCTCTACAGTGAGATAAAATGGCCTACCAGAAGCAGTAATAAACCCCAGGTGACTCCACTGAACCATTCTTTCAGGCTTCAGTGTCTACCCTACCGAAACAATGCTAATATCCTTCATATTCTGTTAACTTGGGAAGGATGTAACCACTTGATTCCACAGGGTGAAAAACTTGCCATTTGGAACCATGGAGGGAAGAAACTTTTACTTTATTTCCCCATTTCAATTATCAGCTTGAAGGGAGGTTCTTCACTCTTTCAAGTACAGAGCTGCTTAAGAATAATTGTTCCTAAAACAAACACACGCAGACATGTTTCCACTTGTTTGTATGTAAAATATCTCTGGAAGGATGAATACGAAACTGGGAACACTGGGAAGGGTGAGAGTCGGGGGTGGAGAGGGATGAGGTTAGCGGAGCAAGGAGAAGTGAATTGTTGGTGGGGAAGGGTGGAAGGGAGACCTTATTTGGTTACTTGCAAATCAACTTTCTAACCAATTTTGAAAATTTGGTGTCACCCCTCTCTTATCTACCTTCTTAACACCTATGCAGGAAACACGGTGACAGCAATGATAATACAATTTACTAAGAGCTAATGATGAGTCAAGCACTCTGCTAAGAACCTTACATAAATTATATCATTTGTTCCTCCTTTTTTTTTTTGAGATGGGGTCTTGCTCTCGTTGCCCAGGCTGAGTGCAGTGGCATGATCTCGGCTCACTGCAACCTCTGCCTCCTGGGTTCAAGCAATTCTCCTGCATCAGCCTCCCGAGTAGCTGGGATTACAGGTGCCTGCCACCATGCATGGCTACTTTTTTGTGTTTTTAGTAGAGACGGGGTTTTGCCATGTTGGCCAGGCTGGTCTTGAACTCCTGACCTCAGGTGATCCACCAGCCTCAGCCTCCCAAAGTGCTGGGATTACAGGCATGAGTCACTGTGCCTGGCCTCATTTGCTCCTCCTAACAACCCATGTGGTAGGTACTACCTTCATTTCATAGATACCGAAGAGAACCACATACACTGACCATGTATGTACTGGATGCATGTACTATGTGGCATGGGGGTGGCTCCTGGGGTCACACCAAGCCAGAGGCAAGGTGTTACATTTTATAAAGAATTTTGGTCTCTTAGAGCCAGTGGCTCTGACTTACACAATTCTGGTACTACATCTGCCACAATTCTGAATCAATGGTGTTCTAGCATAATTTAATATCCCAAAAGAAAAATTAGAGGTCAGATCCTATCGGGCTCGAATCCGAACTTGAGTTCCTCTGTGTAGGACAGAAGAGACTAGAGAGCAGAGTAAGTCCAGATCTTGCTCTTAAAGGGAAACTCTTTGCCTTTAGGAAAAATTATTTTAGGAAGCTTCACATTGACCTTTACAGATACTCCCTCTACTGCTCTTCTATAATAACAGCCAGAGGATTATCTTCCGATCAAGTTACAACTGTTCACCTGGTCACTCACATGAGTCTTATGCCAAGGACAGGTTTGTGAAATCTCCCCTACTCACAAAAGCTGCTTGACAGGAAAAGGACTTGACCTTCTCTGGAGCTTGTTCACCAAGGTAAGGCTATCAGTCCTCATTCCCATCTGCCCCTTCTCTGCCTTTCTAGTTCCTGCCTTCATTTATTTTAAA